AATATTACTTCATTGGGCCCTTTTAAATATTACTTCATTGGGCCAGACTTGTGGCCTAGTGGTTAAGGGGGCTAGACCCTACCTGGTCTACCATGTTTCAAATCCTGGCCCCAGCAATTTGAAAAACATGCCAGACGCCCCCCAGATCCTGATGGGATGGAGAAATGGAGAAGGGATTGCAGTGTGACCAAGCCCCATCAGGGAGTGTTTTCTGCTCCCCTCCCCCCGTGTCTCTGTGGTGAGTGCACATACCCTCTAGCAGTTAAAAAAGAAATAGCATTACCTAGTTAAACTGTCCCAATGACCCTGTGGAGTAGCTGTTATTCTCACTTTACAGATGAACAAGCAAGCCTGAGAAGAGGGAATGACTTGCCCAGTCAGGAAGTGACAGAGCTGGTCTCAAACCCACACCTGCCCAAGGCCAATGCCTGAGCCACACATTTGGTGGTCATTCTCTGCCCCACACAGCTTGGCACGCACAAAAGGTTACCCAACAGTTCCTCGTAGGCAGGCTCAAGAGTTAGTTTCTTCTCATGTTTCAAGGCTGGGGCCATGGGAGCCCCCCCAAAGAGGCTGCTGCAGAAGGCAGCCTTGTGAATCACAATCTAGCACCCTCCTGGGTGTTCTTAGTACAGGGATTCTTACCCAGGAGTCTCCCGGACAGCCTAAGGTGATATGCAAACTTGGCAACGTGTGTGCACATAGCTTCCATCAGAAGTCTGAAGGTGGGAGGGTAGTGGCAGATGGCATAATGGTTACATTGCTGGACTCCCACATAGTCGCCACAGTTCGCATCGCAGACCCAGCGGCTTAAACTCATGCCAGGCACGTGTGCGTGCATGCCCAAGATTCTGAGAGGAGAATGGAGGAGAAGGGATTGCAGCGTGGCCATCCCTCTGGGGGGTGGTTTCTCGCTTTCTGTCTCTCTGTCTCTCTCTCTTTCTGATGAGTGCACACGCCCTACAGCAAAAACCTCTCAAAAAAAAAGAATTTCAAAGGTGGGCCACATGGTGGCAGAGTGATAGAACATGACATTCTGTGAGGCTGACCCATGTGAGACGGTCCCATGTTCACGTCCTCCAGAGACCTCCTGAGTATGCTGGGCATGTGTGTGTGCCCGTAATCCTGGGCCAGCTGAGGCTGAGGGTGGATCATGGCATCAGGACCCCTCTGGGAGTGCTCTCTCTCTATATCTCTCTCTTTTTCACTCATGAAAGAAAGAAAAAAAATTTATACTAAATACTTTTTTTTTTTTAAATTCTGAAGGTGATATACTACACTTTTGAAGGCTCTCACTTTGGGAGCCAGACAGTGGCATGGTGGTTGAGGCGGCCCCCCGCATGGCTGACTGTGTGGTTCAAGTCTCAGACGTGGTTACTTGAAGAGCACACTGGGAGCGTGTGCATGCGTGGCCCCAATCCTGAGAGAATGGAGAAGGGACTGCAGTGTGGTGGTCACCCTTTGGGGGAGGGAGGGTGATGCTTTCTCGCTTTCCATTTCTGTCTCATTCTCTTTCTCTCTTCCCAGTAAGCATGCGTGCTTATAGCAAAAGTTAAAAAAAAAAAAAAAAGTTTCTCACTCCATGGAATGGGAGAAGATAAGAGACATCCCCAAAGTTCCTGGGTCTCCCCATCTCCTTCTCTGCTTAGGCTTAACATCGCCCCCCATGAGGACACACTGAGAAGCAACACACCAAGGCAGATTCAAACCACACCCCGCCCTTTGGACTGCAAAGGTGACTTGGTTTCTCTGTACCATCAAGGCAGCACCAGGATTGCTGGTGAGATTCCCGGGCCCTGTCTAAGGGGGGGATGAGCCACAAATCCTTCCAGGCCCTGATTTATGTAGCATTCATGCAGAATTTATTATACAAAGAATTTTATTCAATTAAACTTGAAATGCATCCGGATTCTTAAAGGTTCAGTAGTGATCGCTGGGACAGAGCGATCATAAAACTGGATGGGCTGTCGGGAGGTGTCGGGGAAGAGGCGAGGGTGACATTGCAGCTGATGGGGGATTCGGAACCAGGGACGTTTGTCATTGGGATGTGTTACAAGTTCGGGCTGTGGAAATTACTCGGTGAAAAATGCACATTAACAATAGCCATGAAATATCAGTTAAGGGAAACTAGGTTGAGAAATGAGACAGCAGGATCTATTAGTGCCTGGCATTGTTCGCCGCAGCCCAGGTTGTGATTAAAGCGACTGTCAAGTGACAGTGGGGTGGGAGGCGAGCACTGGCTGGGAGTCGCAAGGCACCGACTCACTGGGACAGGCTGGTTCCCCTCTCTGAGCCTGTGTCCTCACCTACAAAGCAGGGCATGGAGCACCTCTCTCCAGGGTTGCTGTGAGGCTTAAGTGAGATCAGGTCTGTAGGACACAGCAAGCCCCTCCGCGATGCCGGCTGGCCTGCTTGTTATGGTGGGCCTCTCTCAGATGGACCATCCAGCCACCAGCTCATGCCCCGTAATGATGCCACGTTCCAGGGAACCAGGCCTGGACCAAGGTGAGGCGGGCGAGGGGTTCTCTTAGAGTGAAGTGTACGGGCATGCCAAAAACTTAGTAATCAAGTAATCTTTTCAAAAATCAAACTATGCAGAAGAAGCTGATACACGAGATACCACAATTTTTAAATAAAAACAGGACCGTTTATTTTTCAGTCCTGCATTACTATATGCATGGGAATGATTATTTAAAAATACATATGTGTGTGTGTGTGTGAATATATATATATAGATAGATAGATAGATAGATAGATAAATAGATAGATAGATATATGTAACATATATATTGGGGGCCGGGCAGGTGGTGTGGTGGTTAAGGGCACTGGACTCCCACATGGCCAATCATCAAGGTTCAAGTCCCAGACCTGGCGGCTTGTTTTCTCACTATCACTCTATACGCTCACTAGAAAAAGTGAAAAAGTACCCCCATGGGGAATAGTCATACCACGATCCCATCTCCCCCTTCCTTCAGGATTTCTGAGCATTAGTGCCTGGTGTGTTGTTCAAGCTGCTAGGTCCAGGACTTAAAAGCACCTTAGTAGGATCCCTAACCGCCACTACTTAGGACCTGGTATTAGACTGGGCAACATGGAGCTAGTACACAGGTAGTCATTCTATTACAGCTCCCTCCTTGCCTCTCTTCCTTTGTCAATGAGAGACAGAGACAGATAAGGTCCACAAACAGGGTCTTCGTGATCTGCCCTCAGCCTCAGCCAGGCCAGAACATGAGCATACCTGCGGCCAGCACACTCAGGGGAACTCCTTGGACACGAACCCAGAACATTCACAAGAGCAGCCTCACAAAGGGTCCTGTTCTACTGCCACACTGCTGTTCCATCCCCGAAGACTGCAAAGTACTGGTTAACTTTCCCCACTTGGTTCAAAATAGAGAAGGATGTTTCCATTAGTGGATGTCGGGGGCACACGTTTTCCTCCTGCCCTGGGCTCTGATGAGACTTTGTGGGGTGTTGTTGGTGCCACAGGAAATACCTACTAAGCTGTCACATCTTCCTGCACTTGGGTGGCTTTGTGAGGAAATACTTGCTGGTGAAAGGAGGATACAGAGGCGGGGGCCTGGGAACCTGAATGCTGACATCTGGCCTGTGACGGCCACTCCGGAAGGACTGGTGGGGACAGGGTCGGGCAACAAAGTGCCTTCTTTCAAAGACCGTCACTTTAGGATGTCATATTTGTTCAAAAAACTTCTCACTCTTGGAGGTTGTGCTATACCCTGGCTAGAAGTACAGGGTTGTCATTTTATTATCTAGATTCTATTCTTTCCAGGAAGACCTTGAGGTGCGGCAGAATTGAGTGAACTGGAAGATCTGCTCCCCCGCTGAGCCTGGAGTGACTGCGTGAAACGTAACCAGTAACCACCGAGTGTCTGCTGAGCACCCTTGTTTCCTGTTTCAGGTTCTGTTTGCAAACGCTGAGCATCTGCTTATGCTATGCCAGACCTGGCTCTAACCACAGGGGCTGGGACGGCACTGGGCACGGCCACCCCTTGGAGGGTGTTCACCTGCTCAGCCCAAGATTTAAGGGGGCCACTGCAGCCTGCAGGCAATGGAAGGACCCAGTAGGCATGAATGTAAGTTTTCTTCCTGCAAAATTAGCAGGCAAGGTGTTAAGAATGAAGGTAAAAGCATGCACGCCACTGAGAATTAAATGTTTGCTGACTTGTGGGCAAGGAAGACAGCCAGGTGACCAGCCCTCCTGGGCCCAGCCCGGTGCCTCCCACCAAGTAGGCTCTCCATAAATAAATGATGGCCAAAATGAGATCATCAGGCATTTCAGCCCTGCCCGTCGGCCAGAGCCGACCCTTCCGAAGTCATCTCCTGCAATTAGCAGCATGGAATCTTTAGGTTCTGGGGCTGCCTGTGCCCTTCATAAATATCCCCCTTCCCAAGGACACAGCTGGCACTGCTGGTGTCGTTTCATAGCGGGAGGGAGCGGTGGTGACAACTGAACTAAAATACAGCCGAGGCATGGATCTCAGAGGCATAAACCAGCCAAGTGCAGCATCAGAGAAATAAGTCTCCCTGTCAGCCCCGCTGGAAACTGAAGACCTCATTTTCTCAGGCTGAATACGCTCCTCCTCGAACCCTTGGCGCTGTCCCACTGGGCAGGAATTCCCGCCTTGAAGCAGTGTCGCACTCACCCATTTGGGGTGGATTCTCCCAGCAGCACCCCTGCCACACACACTTCAGTGCAGGCCGGTTCCAAGTTTCCGAGGCCTTGCCTGTCGATCTGCAGCGTCCCTCTCCCTCCTGCACTTTGGCATGACGGGTGGCTCAGGGGTGACTCAACTTCCAAATCCTGTCTGCCTTCCCCTTTATAAATGTGACATTTAAAGCCCCTTTGGCACGAGTAAATCACAATTACAGTTCCAAGGGCCTCTGGTACCATTCCAAATCCTTGAACAGCTTGGGCTGGCAGTGGGAGGGCTCACCATGCTCCCTCCCTCCCTCCCTCCCTCTCCCTCACACACACACACAGCTCAAGCCTTTGCCACTTTTATTCTTTTTCCCACACAGCTTCCTCTCATTGCATCCGTCCCTATACCTTTCTTTCTTGCAATACTGAATCCACGCCACTTCCCTCCCAGTTCAAGACGGGGAGAGGACAGAATTCTGCCAGGCCGTGGTCCTTGGAGGGGAGGGGCAGGCTGTGAGGCTAAGCTGAGCCCTGCCTTCAGCCCCTCTGGGCAAGAGCTGCCGGAAGCCGACGCAGCAGGGCAAACCCTCTTCACTGGGTCACCTCGGAGGGTCTACGCGGGACCCCTGCCAGTGCACGGAAGGTTCAGGCTCGGTCTGATGGCTCATCTTTCTTGTATATTTTTTCTTGCTTCCCTTCCTTCATAGCTGCGTATCTGGCTAATGTGAAGAGGTAGTCACTGAGCCTGGAGGGGCAGAGAGAAGCAGAGGGAATGATCTGAAATGAGAGAGCCGTGCTAACTGGGTCCTTCCCTTGTTATCCTTCAAGGAGAAGATAGAAATCTCGTGCTCCAGGAGCATTGAGCGGGGATGGCAGGTGCTGGCCAACTGGGGCCTGATGGATGGCCCTTGAGGCCAGCTTCTGGGAGAGCCAAGGGCCCAACTCGAGTGCCAGGGCTGGGGTCATTCCTGCAGGACCAGGCTGTTGGCCCCAACTCACCCTGCAGGGGACTTTGGGCCACTCTCTGAGCTGGCTTTTGTGCCTTGAAGTGATCAGGACTGGCATTTCTCACACTGGCATATGCATGCAAACCACCTGGGGACCTTGGGGACAGGTAGCTTCTGATTCAGGAGGGCTGGGCTGGGCCTGGGACTATGCAGGCCTGACCCTGCCCAGGTGCTCTTCAGGCTGCTGCAGGACTGTCATTCCCCACAAGTGTGCTCAGATCAGAGGAGAGGACCCCAAATTCCCCCTACGTACCTGTTTAGGAACTTGGCCACGTTCTCATCGGTCTCTCCCATCTGGACGAGAGGTACCACGCTGGAAAAGGAGGAGACAGTCACACTACATTACAGGACTGCCCATGCTCCGGGGACTGCACTACCCCAGCCTGGCCTGAACCCCAGCCGGCAGTGAAGATGGAAACTTCCTCTGCAGGTTTTAGCAGGTCACCCAACCTCCTTTCCCTGGGCATATCACATGAGGGCCTGGAGAAGGAGGATGGATTGAGTTGAGGGCAGGCTGTACCACAACCCAGCCTGCCAGTCTGGGTGCCATTAGGCCTGGTCTGGGGTTCTCCTGGGCAGGGTGAGGTGGGGTTGTCAGCCTCCAGCCTTCAAAGAGAGCAGAGGATTTTGACTCAATTCCCAAGGGCTTGCCACTTACAGCCCATTCTAAGTTATGCCTCAGAGCTACTGCACAGGGGAGAAGGCGACCTGGGCAAACCAAGCTCCTGCTGCCACGTGGCTGTGAACTCGCTGAGTCCATGCCAGTCCCTGTGTAGGTGTCTTAGAGCACAGGCTGGTGTCTTCTGGGCACAAGCAACGTGGCAGGCCCTTGCCAGATGCTCATGCACATCACTTCTGCTGA